AAACTAAAAATCACGTTTACATACTCGAGTCGGTCTTTTAATCGTTAGAAGCAGCTTGTTCTTAAAAATTTTCAGTGAAAGCGGCGATATCTCAAAATGTGTGTTGGAAATTCTATTCATTATCGTCTACATAAAAGAAATCGTTAGATATTAGAATTAATTTGATTCAAATATCACTGGTTTTTTAATATTCATCATGATTCAGTTTAGTTAAAAGCTCTTCTATGCTCACGATACGCATTATTAAATTCTAATAAATACTCTACAGAATATTATTTAAAGTCCCATACTCTCATAATCTGTTAGCGAGTTTTGGTTTCAAATAACGACCATCTGCAGTTATAGACCAATTTCATTTAGACGATTTAACTTTAAGGTACATGGGGTCGATGCCTTGACCAATTGGCCTGGGTCATCAAGACATTGATCTAGAACAAGTTTTGATTTATTGTTAAAATAATGGCTAGAAGTATGACCGAAAACAGATAAAAGTAAGAGGCAACATACAAAATTTCAATTCAATTCAACTTGAATCGGCAATCAGTTGCCTTGGACATATGCAGAAATCAAATGAAACTTGCTGGTTTACCAATGTTCTAGTATAGGGTAAACTTGACTTATTCTTCACCAATAGATCAATAAAAAACAAAACAAAAAAATCCACTCAGAACATGTTTATCTTTATTGCCAGATAAAAGTTAAAAAAGTGGTCCATCATCATCAGAACTGACACATTTTTCGGCATATCTTGATAAAAATTATGACATTGTTATTGAAAAGTGATTCAAAATATGTGAAATTTTATTTAGGTGAAAGTGAAATGTTTCATCCATTGGTCTGTAATTTATGATAATCAAAAATAAGTAAGATAAGATAAAACAAAGTTTATTAACTTATCGAATATGTAATTATAATAAGCTTATATGATACAAAGGAAACATGGTAAATACACGTTTTGTTAACTGTTATATATATCGACATGTTACAGCTTTGTGAATGTAGATAAAACCAAATCCGAATGCACAAAATTCCATCAACGTTAGTGATCATGTTTATTGCAATTCAGATGAGCTGAGTACATTAAAAGTGTCTCTTGATTTAAATGGCCAGGTTCGCCCAATCGTAACTGAAACTCAGTCTCAGTCTCAGAAACGGTATTTATGTTCACAGCTCAAATTTGAGCCTTCAAATCCACCTGTGTCCAGAACTATCAGCGTTTGAAATTAAAATGACGACTCGTCTTTTGACCTTACCGTTTATAAAAAAGATATATATAGAGAAATAGAAAGTGAAATGCCTTAACAGTTGCCCAGCGATAAAAATTAAGAAGAAACATATTTTAGTTATTTGGCTTTAATATAAAGAAGTTACTCGGAATATTTGGGCTTTAACTTCATTCTCACCAGATAATGACTGAATGATACCTTCATATATACAGCTAATTAAAACGCGATCTGTAACGCAAGTTTTATTACAAAATATATTAACATTCAAGCAAAAGAGATATTATTGAGCTTAAAAATCATCTCTGTCACTTTGCTTTCCTTTTTACTGACTAATTACGTCTGACTAGCTCACTAGAAAAATCTTTTCTTGAGAGCGATGCTTTTAATGAATTTCCGCTCGCATGCTTGAGAGAATCTTATAGGTAGCACGCCTCTCTGTCAATACATTGTCCGTAATTAAAAACAATTATTATTCCCTGAAAAGTCTCTCGTTCAATATTTCAAATCGGAAAATTCAATTAATGCTTGTCGCCATTACATTATATGATGGTACATTAAGCATCCTTCTTGATTTAAATAGTAATCTCTGAAGGTTGACTTCCACTTTCTTCCGGTTATTCAGTGTCCAAAATAGTGCGCATAACCCTTGAATTTAATCTTTACTGAAGCCTATACTATGGCAATTAGCAACTAAAATGTTTCACCGCGCAAAATTTATCTTTGGTGTCATACATTACTTCTTCAATGCAACATTATTTCCGTTCATTCAACAATTATGTTCTCACTTTCACAATATAAATGTGCCTAGTTTTGATAGCTCTTTAGCATCAGAGACTGTTATCTCGTAAACTAATAGAAGCGGCACACAGGCGATTTTTATCACCCAATCGCACCGATTTTTAAAATCGCTCGAAAAATTCGCCCATGCGCCCGGTCCTGTCGACGGCGATTTTTTTCGCCCGTACGAATCGCCGGCATCATATGTTCGATATTTTCGGCCGATTATTTTCGCTGGCGATTAAATTCGTACGTCTGCCCGTATCCGGCGTATTTTATTGACCGATCGACATCTTTCAACCAATCAGACGTCATGTTTATATGATGACGTAATGTTGACGTGAGGTTAAAAAGGCTGATCAAGAATTGTGGAAGAAGAATTCGTGGTTCTCTGATCTGAGAGGCCATATAACTTTATGCTGACTCAATGTCCATAAAGCATTATTCAACTAACAGTGGCGGCTTCAGAATTCTGGTGTGAGGGTGGGGGGGTCGGGGGGGGGGGGGGGGGCATTAACATCATTTTATCCTTAGTTTCTTGAAGAAAAAATACGCTCGTCTGCCCCTAGCATTAGGCGACATTGGGACATCCACTGATTGCCTACTAAGTGGCTTACATCCTTTAGGCTTTTAATTCTACATATCTCTGACTTGCAATGCTAATTGTTAAAAGTATACTCAATTAAATGATTTTATGTCAGAATCTAACAAATGACTAGACTCGTCACTTCCGGTTGACATATTGCCAGGAAAGGGTAATTTTACTAGGAAATATCTTATCTATTATAGTAATAAATTGAAGACTTATATTTTCATGTCTTTCTTCTTCTTTATCGTAGCGATGCTAACGATTATTGGAACGGTATACATGAATTACCAAACGCAATAAATTGTGCCTACTTGGCGGCTGTGTCTGTAGCAATCGATTCAATCAAAAATACGTACTTTGCCACCTTTAAAGGCCATGGTTCGTCATTTTGGGTCTTGAATATATGTTAATAGGCTACAGAATTGCACGAAACCGCTTAATCCCTTCAAATACAAATTTCAATATATTATATATTTTCTATTTATGACGGAGTCTCAAGAAAAGGTGAGACGTCATTTTATCTTTTTAATGCGGATAATTTTGATAACACATGGATTTAAGGACCCAAATTGTGAAAGTTAGCAGTGAACACTATTACTGATTAGCTCATGTCGTTTCTGAGACTTAATTAAGATTTTCTTCTTTTTTAATCTATATATATTCAGAAAATATAAATGTACAAATTGTAATGATATGTGAAAAAATATTTGAACATCACAATAATTGTGTACTAATGTAGTTTTCTTTTTGCAATACATTATAATAAATTATATTCAAATGTAGTATAAAATATTCATATTGTAACATTAACGCAGACTGTTGACCATTATTCATCGATTTACGTGACTTTTGTCTATTATTTCTACAAAATTAGCGGATATTGGCCTCGAGAAACCCGAGAAACTGACCGACACTGATTTACTGCTGATTTCTTCCAAATAACTAATTTTCTCCATTTCTCTAATATTGTGACGTAACCACTGACAGGTGTAGAGCTACAGTTAAAATGAAATATTAGAATATTATGATAAAGGCCGCGATATTTCACGCCTTAGTAATGGATATTTTTCTCCACTATAATTACGACCAATTGGTAAAGCAGTTACGTAGGTTTGTTTTCCGGTAACTTTATTGGCATTCTATTACTGAACATTATAATTATCTAAAATTAGCCTTATCAAATTGGCGTTTTAACTTTTTCATTCCCCTTATTTTGTATAGTGTCCTTTTTCCAGAATTATATTGGTGTTTTTAATTGAAAAATAAATGAGTGATTACATAAAACTCAATAACTGTGCTATCTGGTTTCTTTTAAATATAATTAACTTTAACAGTAGAGATTTCTAGATCAAGTTTTGAAAACTTTTTATCTTCGTATTTAAATGAAAAAGAATATGTTTTTTTTCATATATCACTATTTTCATCTTTTAGTTTGATTTAAAAAAAAAAGATTTATACGAGATATATATTTTCAAAAAAAATGCATTTAATACATTTGTAAACTAAAAATTTTAATAATCCTCAAATTCCAACATTTGATTTTGTTTAGGTGTCTCGATACAATTTTTCAGGTGACAACCAGGGTGAATACATGCATAGCTTAACGCGTTACTCACTTCTGTAAGTAAATTACAAATAACAAAATTTAAATATTAAAATAGAAATTGAATCGTGTTGTCACCAAGAGTTCCACTCTATGCGATCTGACCTAACTATATCTTAGTATAGCGTCTTGTTTTTTTTTTACTTATTATTCTGAGCACTGTCTGAAGATGATCTAAAAATTTAAACAAATATATTATATTAAAATATTTTAATCCATCGTTGAAACCTAAACCGAGCGAAACGCTCGAACAAAAACAAAAGACACATCGTTGTAAAAATACATTTCGTGTTGTGTCTAATGAACGGTTAGGAATCTGTCATGCTTTTACTTTACGCTTGTCAATTCCATGTGATGTAAACAAATGCACACGTGTTAGTTTTTATGTCACTATAGCGACGCTGTCAGTAAAAGACGCCATTTGAATGTATGGAACCACGGTCTCCGCCCATTGGCTGTCGACAAGCGTGTAATTGAGGCTTTGATTGGCTACTGTGATAGGTTTTTGATTAAACATGACTTTCGTATAAATATCTCTCTTGATAAATCAATGGCTAGTTTCCTTTAACCTATAGCAAAATCATTGCGGAACCGAATTTAAAATCAGGACTTGAAGGTTTCCTTCCAATTTCCAGGAAAGTTGCCTTGTAACCGGTTATAAGGAGAACGAGCAGTTCCGAGGGGAAATTAAAGTGTGGCTGTTTCGGAAGCGAGGTTGTAGGACAATTACTAGATACATAAGCACTTATTGAAGAGAAGCCTTTTAAAACAAGTTTCATTTCTTATAGTACCGGCGCCATACAGGATGCAGAGTTTGAAACAACAAGACTACTACCGGGCTTGTACATTCACTGGTATCCCCGGACATATGATGTTTCCCGGTACGTTTCCGTTTCTTCAGGAAATCTACATTCTACCTTTTTTATACTCGCGTCGGAGTTTCCAAGGATACAATCTACTTCTTTAGAGTTTGAATTAAACTTTGCTTCAGTGCTAATTTTTAAGTAGAAGAATTTTCTTTTGACATTTACTTGAGGATGTAATTCAAATTGTTTTCCGTTTTCAAGAATGCCTAACTTCCGTTGTCTCTATTCCGTTTTCTTACAGGCTTCTTCTACTCATTTAAATTGGATTTAAATTACAGAACTTGTCATTTTCCTACGAAACATTGACAGCTATGTCATGGAAGAAAATTATCACTTTTGAATTCAATTCATATTTTCATTTGTGTTGTAAGTTAAGACAGATCATATTAATTGTCAAAACGATTTTTTCTAACTAAATGGTGCCTAAGAATTTTTTTTTATATTTATTCTAAAATTCAATTTCAGATCCATCTTATGGGAAAACAGCGTGGACTCCTCAATCGTCGCCATCAAATCAAGGTAAGCCTTTTATTCACAATTCTATTTATTATTATATTTAAACGCGGATGATGTTGAAATATTTCAAGTGAAGAGGTTATTGTACAGTTTATCTTTATACATATATATTCAATTACGAAATCAATCAGTAGATAATTTTTAACAATTGAGCTCAATATACGAATTATAATCAAAATTTTACACAAATAATACGAAAAATCATAATATATTCCAATTTCAGTGTGTAATCCACGATTTTTTATCTAGTAAATTCCTTGACGTTAATACTAAGCTGTCAGCAACGCTTTGTGTTCAAGAGGCTCAGAATTTCAAGATCTATATTTATGATTTTAAATGACATGCATGAATCACATGAAATATATAAAAAGAAAAAAACATTCGGCATGAATTTTAATATGTATCAAAGAATTTTTCTACTTCATAATTTCCTATGTTAGTTATTAAACTAGATTCAAATTTCTGTGATAACTTAGACAGGGTTGATAATATATATTATAATCCAAGTTCAATACTTGAATATTTAAATATTGTTATTCGAAGATATTCGGTACACTCATAATTCGCTTCCTGGTTTCTTTTATATATTATAAACATCAACAATGTAACAACAAATCAACAACATCGGTGAGAAAACTTCTTAAATCTAGGGATGAAAGTTCTAACATAACAATATGTGCAAAGAAATTGACATTGTAGATCTGTTTAATCCCACTGTCACTGACAAAATCTAGTTAAAAAGTTATTGATATGTGACGGCGTCTGATGACACGCTACAATAAAATATTAGAATCAAACTAATATTTTTAGTAAAATATCCAAAAACTAAATAATTTTTTTTTTGACTGGTTGGAATTTTAAGACTGAAATTTTGGTCAAGTCATATGATATACAAAAGAAAATGAGGTTTTTGCCAGGACTCAGCGATATAATCAAATTTAATCAAAATAAATATATACATTTCCTGAGCAAACGATATAGCTTGGAATATTTATACATATATTACGAAAATAGTCGCATTCATGATATGGTGCCAATTAGTCGCTTTGTTTAATGAGTTTTTGTTGGTGTTCAAATATTCATTAAATCTTCTCTAAGCCTTCAATCTAATTATTATACCATAAGAATTGATCGTTAGTGTGAAATAATATATGAGAATTTCCATAACAATGTATCTTATTATTTATGATAACAGAATCAAACCGTTTAAGCATATTTAAAAGTTTTAATAAATTGAATCAAAAGTTTTAAAATGAATTTTCACTACTACTAACCATTAATGAGGTCTACACTGGTGACAATACTAACGCTTACTTTGTACGAGAAAAACTAAAGCTGAAATCCACATTTCCACTTTCACAAACGGCGAAAATGCTGATGATTTTTTTTTATTGAGGGAAGACTAACAATTTCAATATTAAAAATCTTGTGCGAAAAGTATCAAATACGAGTAATTGAAATTGTTTTCGAAGAAAAAAATATAAGGACATAAAATGTGTAAAATATATATAATTTAAAAAAAAAATATAATCCCATTATTTTGTTCTCGTGTGATTTCTGCACTTGTCAAGGATCAGATTTAACTCTATCTTAACATAACAAACAAAAATGTTAGCCGGACTTGCTCTGAATATTTTTGGTAGACGTTTGTTAAAGAAATATGAATATACTGAATATTACTGTTTGTAATTTTATTGGTTTTAATTTTGTCAACCGGCTGAAAATGAGCTATATATTTTAACAATGTAGAGATTTGTGTGATTTTTTAGTATGTTAGAAATGTCATAGAATATTGGTGGCTTCGATTTCAATTTTAATTAATTTTTAAACTAAAATATCATATCCTTTATTTTCGATTTATGAATAGGTAATCATATTCCACGAGTAGCAGCTCTTAAACTAATCCTCTGTCAATGAGTATACATTTACTTTAAACAATTATGAAAACGCTTCCTAACTGTCATATTTCTCTTTATTTCAAAATCTCGTTAATCAAAACCCACTTTAAGTGAACGATATGTATCATAGAGCCTAACGACCATTAAAAGCCTCATAGTACATTTCACAATGTGTCAAAACCTCGTAAATTTTCTCCCAAATACTGTCATTTAAAGTGTTCGCTCACGTGTCTGGCACGCGCCTTTCGTAAAGAGAGGCATTAATAAGGACATTAGGCTGTTCTGTTTACACCCCTATAAAATATATTCAATTCTGTAAAATTGCTCATGCGAAATAAGCAAATCGTAGTAGCGATTTCACGTTGTCGTCAAAGAATGACTTGACGCGCATATCTTAACTCAACACGGTAATTATCTGCTGTGAATGAACTAAATAGAAGCCTAATTTCTAATAGTGACATGTATTAAAGTGACCTTGCTAGTGACCTAGACTTTTTTGCCCCCGGCCCCCAAAGTGTCAATAATGTTAAGGGTCAGATAGTGTTTGCCGATATTGAGCTCTATGTTATTATTTTAAGGGATTAAGAAGAGAAACGATTTGATACTGACCTTAACGATTTTAAGATTGACTCTTTCGCCAATAACTGATATTGATATTACAATAGTCTTAATGAATGCCAAAGTGTAGGGATTGAATGCATAATCTTAACCAAGAGAAAACTTACAAGAGTTTTGCAATTCATGTCATGTAAAGCACAAAATGAAATGAAAACGAAGGATGCAAACCTATAGCAAATTAACCAGCAATTTCAAGACAAATCACTAGAAAAGGGCTTAAAACACAATATCTTACAGAGTCACTATTAGAATATTTTCAATGTTATTGTGACGGAAATACTTAAAACTAGATTGTATATCTGTGTAGTCAATCATATTATACCAAAGACAAAAAAATGCCAGAATCCAAATCCAAATCCATTTAAATTCGGATAGTTTTACATCTCCATTAAAAAAAAATTCTGCAAATTTATATTTCTTATATTTTCATGCAGAATTTCAAGGGAAATATCATCCACATTGTAAGAATAAGAGGCTATTTAGTTTATTTTTCCGTATAATATTTTGATAATGATGGATGTTTCTTTTCATTTTAGGTTACCATCCAAATCCTTTACAATCTTTAGGAAAATCTACTTTGGATTCTTCAAATACACCCTGGAGGCCGCAAGGTAAATATCATTTCAAAACAATATTTTATTTGTACTGAATTAAGGATTCCCAACTTCCATCTTATTGTTATATTAATTTTTTATAAGGCGTACAGGATAAACTGAAATATATCACGGTAGTTTTTCAATAAATATTATGCTCACTATTTTCACATAATGCTGGTTTTTGCAATTGAGTTGTTCATAGAGCCAATTATTGGTTTATTGTTACCGCGGTTTGATAAATCAGGTAATTTAAAATTCAAACTGGCCTTAATGCTAAGCGTTTGTTGAATGAAATACAAGGCTGTGAAGAGAAGGTATGCCATTCCAATCAGCACTGACGACTATCGTCAACTAAAGTCAAACAACAACAAAATAAATAAAGATACTTATATATATAGTCTATATTATACAAACTTAAAGAGATAGCTTTTGAAGGCTGAATGAGCTAGTACGCTAATACTGACCAAATAAAATTTAACATTGATTGACCAAGGCTGAAATATAAAAAGATTTCATAATGACAAATATTGCAATATCTCGTGTCAAGTCATACGGTGTTGTGAAAATACTGGTTAAATGATTGACGTGACCCCCATGTAATAGTATTCACTAGATCTTATAAATAATAACACTTTCATTTAGTCGGCACACTTCGCTTTTTAATGGCATACCACAATATAGGGGTAGAACGATTTGCTTTCGTATTAAATTTCAAATTTTATAATATAATGTAAAACAAAATGTTGGCACATCAAACTGTGGTTCAATCAACGGTTTAATAAAGTGTCTTTCGTGGTAAATTATCTGCAATCTGTGTGACGGCGGATCATTAATAAGCCTCCTAGCACAATATTAATATCTTGTGAGCTTTAAATGAAGTCAGTGCCGTAATCATCTGATTCTTTATAACTTTTCATATCCGCTGACTGAGAGTTTTGTTCGGATAATGAAGTTTTTTAGGCTTAATAAAATGATTGTTGTTTAGTTTGGATTTATTTTTCTTTCTTTTTGCCTAACTTTAAAGGGGATGATTTTTTCAACTCAAGCCAGTTTCCCCTGTTTAACACCGAATTCATAGAATTACTTGACAAAAATAAAATAAAAATTAAGAAATAAAAATATTTACAAGAAGATAATCTTTTATCAGCATTACTTTGAACACGTTATTAAATTGTCGAAATTTATAACATTTTCAACGATTTAATGTGCAATAGAGGCTAAATAAAATGGCAAAGAATCTTTAATTCCCAGGACAACTAAAAATATCGATGAATAGAGACGCGATGGTTTGATAGTGCCAATAAAAACACTATTAACTGTTATAATAAAGAGATTGAGATTATTTATAATATTTAATATTGTTTCATATTATTTACGCTTTTTCAATTAATCAAACTTCATGCCAATATCATTGGAACATCAATACTCCACTTATTTTCAACATCAGCGTATTATTATGAGCAGAACAATGAATGAGACTTTAATATTGTTTTCTCTGAGGCCAGATTGTACATCACAATAACCCGCAACATTTTCATGTTCAAAAGTTACACAAGACTGTCTGCGAATAAATAATTCTAAAATCACCTAGATCACGTTTGGCTTTAACAAAAAAATAGTTATACCTTAGCGCGATTAAGTAATTAAGTCAAATCAATTTTCAAATATTAGTGATAATTGATCTTCCATTGGCAATTATTTGCATTTTTGTATTTACAAGGTTTTGGAACATTGGCATATGCATAAATCACACTTAAGTACATCTTCTGATCAGGAAGATAAAAGTGTCCTATTAGTGAAAATAATCAAATTTTACTGGTTTTTCGAAATTTCATCGATATTTTCGTTGATTTTTTTCATCTTTAAACACCCACACGGGGCGTATACTGTCATTAAAGTCTGTCTGTCCGCAATTTCTCCTGAATAACAAAGGAGAGGAAATTCCTCATGGAAAAATCTTCAACTATAGACATAGCTGAAAAAAAAACCACCGTAATTTTAAAGTAAACATATAACCTGAGTTAACCTTTCGATGAATCTACATATGTATGATTCCATATCTTTCTTTCGTGTTTTTGATAGAATTAATATTTGAATTAAACACAAACGTACTAATGTGAATAGAGTAAATGAAAAAATAAACGTATTCTTGCAAGTGTTAGTTCAACTCAAAATCTGAACGAATAAGTAGAATTTGTATTTTTGAAATTACTAATATTGATTGTCTAAGCACATATTTCCATTAACTATTGTTTCCTTATAAGAGCCATCACCACATAGTGAATATTACTCTTCAACATTGAAAAACAAGGATGTTGACATTGATTTCTTTTAAAGTACCTTTCAGTTACTTAGCACCATGTTATTTTAATCTGTAGAACAATTAATACAATATGAGGCCTATGTAGGATTTTATTCTGTATTTCTTTTATGAGCCACTATTTTTAAATAGATTTTATTATTTTTTTAAATGTAATAAAATTTCACCTAGTATTGGTGTATGCATTCGTCTATGTTTACATTAGTCTATAAATATTTGACATACAGAACAGGGGCTTGGTTTTCGAAAGTATCTTATGACTAAGACGTGTCTTATGATGGTCATATGACAGATCATAGTCGTAAGATAGTCATAAAATGTGTCCTTAGAAATATCTTCAGACATATCTTAAGATACTTGCGAAGCCAGGCCCCGGAAGATCTATTTGTAAAAAAAAGAGATTGATGCAGAGAAAATTTATATTAATAAAGTTGTCTCCAACGACTAAAATATTTAATAAAGTTTAATTAAGAAGACATCAAAACGATGATTCGATAAACGCCTTTATTCACAAGTGTTATATTTAAGCCATTAATAACAATTTTTCAGACAACACATTGAAAACTGTAATTTACTCTCTGATTACGATATTTAAGTGTTTAATTTGGGCTTATTGTCCATTACAAATTATCTAAGAATGGAACGAGAGGGTTAGTGCCTTTCTGCACGCAATAACTATTTAGCTGCACGAACCATGTACAATCCTTATCTTTGTTCGCTATTTAGTTTGTTACAAATATTAGGTTATACGATATTAAACGATTTTATATGTTTCAGTCAGTCTTATCATGCGATCCTTCAACAAACCTTAATCTACTTACAGACTTCGACTCACAGAACCCGTCTGTTTGATTAGAAGTTGTTTCTTTGGTTCACTGAAAATTCTGCACCTGTCAATATCCAGACACGAAAAGATCAGAGTAGTTACAATGTTTTTCGTATTTGCTCTCTGTGTTTTTGACCAAAGAATAATTCGCAAAGAATAGTCGGTTCAATCGTTAGCTAGCCGACAAACTACACGCTGTGCTCAGTTTTATAACGTTAACGAACACAGATACCGGAGAATTGGGAATTGAAATATGTCAAATTGCCCCGAATTCAAACACATTATAATTTGTCAGAGTAATAAAGTTTAAATCTTAACAAATATTTTGAATAAATACACAATGTGTCACGTGTATCAGATAGGAATAAAAATCGATTCGTTTGTCCAAACCATATCTAAATCCAAATTATAGGAAAGACAAATAAATAACAGACCAAAACGTCTGAAAGTAAATTATGAATAGCTCACCTGGATCATTCAAATTGTTAATGGCAAAATTCACCATACAAGTGATAATTATATTTTTCAGGCAGTGGTCAAATTCAGTTATGGCAATTTTTACTGGAATTACTATCCGATAGCTCAAATTCAGCTTACATTACCTGGGAAGGAACCAATGGTGAATTCAAACTTAGTGACCCAGATGAAGTGGCTCGACGATGGGGAGAAAGAAAGAGCAAACCCAATATGAACTACGATAAACTTAGTCGTGCTCTCAGATATTACTACGATAAAAACATTATGACCAAAGTACATGGAAAACGTTACGCGTATAAATTTGATTTCGCAGGACTTGCTCAAGCCATGCAGCCACAAGCTAGCGACCCAACTGCTTACAAATATCAACAGGACTTCTTTATGTCCTCACATTACCATAACCCAAAATTAAATTTTATGAATACACATCCACCTATGCCCTCATCTACCTCTGGACTTTTTGCTTCGCCTTCAAGTTACTGGTCGTCTGCCAGCAGTGCAAACCTGTATCACAACATCCCAAATCACGCCATGTCTCATCACCATGGCCACATGACCTCGCATTTAGGCGCCTACTATTCATGAAGATTCTAGCCGGACGAACTTGTTTGTTAATCTATTCAAGAAAAGAAAAGGCGTGTGATTGAAAATTGTGAATCGAGTGAAGAGAGAGGAACTCGAGATCTTTCTTGTGATATTATTGATATATGGAGTCGTGTGCCGAAAACTGAATTTAAAGTTATACGAGCCTTTAATCGAGTTGGTCGCTTATCTCTAAAACAAATTGAATCATCTAAGGTCGGTAAAATTAATGGAAGGAAATGTTCCTCGACAGGGACAGATTTCAAATGGTGGATCAATACCGATTTTTCTATCTCCGCCTTTTAAAGAGTTTCATTGCTGATATGTATCTTAGCTAGCGGAAGGAAGGGACAAGAAAAATATTCCACAATTAATTTTGTCTCACGATGTATTCAGTCAAATCCTTCAAGCTATCTGACGCCAAGTAAATTGGATTTCCTATCAAGTTAGCCGACTTCTGTGTTCAAACATGGAACCGAGACAATTATCGCAGAGATCGTAAAGTGCCTTGATGCCATGATTGTTGGTAATGTTATGACCAAAGCATCGATGTCGTTTCTAAATAAGCGAGAGATTCTTAATTGATGTATGTTTGATATAAGATCGTCGTATGAAGATGACTAATGCCTCAGGAGGTTAACGAATCAAACCTCTACAACTCGGATCAGAATTACGACACTCATCATTTGGATGTTATAAATCATTTTGAAGTAGAAAGCAAGTGGAATATTATAACAGTAATAAGTTGAGTTATTATTCAACCTTCTAACCCAATAAATACATTATTAAAACTTCATTTTTCATTAGTCCTTAGAAATTGCGGTTCTCTTACGATTCCTGATAAGAAATTCCTCAATAGTTTTCGCTTCAGTCTAAAACCATTAATAGGATAACAGATTATTTAATGTCACTTCTTATTAAAGATATTACAATGCATAATACCTATAATGTAATTAAGTATTTCTTTGGTCGTACGTATGGTGCAAAATATTCAAATTTTGGTTTTGGTTTGTATTCTGTGGGGAATAAACGGGAGGTTTGGATTAAGTTGATTCGTTTTAATTTTCTTTTGCTCTTTTTGTAATTATGTTCATACATTGAGTGTCATTTAATTCAATAACGCCTGAACTTTAAAATGATGTACCATTGGTTATGTAGGTTTATCATAGATATATAAAATTGTGTGAAAATCTCAAAAGATTTTCGAATGGTAACTTTTGGTCAGAAAACAAAATAACTGAAATTCACCTGGATAAGAGATCTTACATACATAATAATTCATCACAAATTCGGGTTTTATTTGGATATAGCAATTATCTGTCAATTTGTGTGTTTGAATTCCAAACCATCGGAGTAAAACACCGAACGAGCTGTTGATTTGATACATCCCTGTAGGATCTATCTAGTGCTCTTGTTTCGTCTGTTTGATTTTTTTTAGTTCTTACTGAGCCAAATATAAATTAGATGATACAAGGTCAAGTCCTTAGAAATCATTGTGAAGAGTACTGAAAATATGATTAATATTATTATGTATAAAAAAAATGTGATTAAAAACCTATTCAAATCTAGTCCTGTACATACAAATATTATATAAATTCTATTTATTGCATATTGTATAATATCTTTGTAAATTATATATAGATATTTATGTTTGTATTTATTCCTAAATAAGATGTGCTATATTTATTGTAAATTATAAAAAAAACATATTAAAGATCTAAAAATTAAGCTTTCTGTTTTTCGGATATTACCTTGTCCGTGAAGATATTTCTCAACATCCGAAACTATAATGGTATATAATACGCCATACAAAAGTAGTGCCGCTTCCTTCCCTCTACCCTGATATGGGTTGAATACTTAGAATTGTGTATAGTTCTCCCTAAAACTAAAACATGTGTGTTTAATCGCCACGCCAAAAGCAAGGTCTTTCTAAATTATTTCCTCTAAAATTAACAAGTGGAGTCTGAGTGAATTTTTTCTATTGCACCTGAGGTCTGAAAAAATTCTTTCCTCAAAACCTACTAAGTCTGGTCGGAGTAAATACTTTCCTCAAACCTTAGTAAATCAGGTCTGAGTTAATTATTTCCTCAAAACTTATTAAGTCAGGTCTGAGTTATACTTTCCTCAAAACTTAGTAAGTCTGGTCTGAGAAAATACTTTCCTCAAAACTTTGTAAGTCTGGTCTAAGTAAATTCTTTCCTCAAAACTTAGTAAGTCAGGTCTGAGTTAATTCTTTCCTCAAAACTTAGTAAGTCAGGTCTGAGTTATACTTTCCTCAAAACTTAGTAAGTCTGGTCTGAGAAAATACTTTCCTCAAAACTTAGTAAGTCAGATCTGAGTTAATTATTTCCTCAAAACTTATTAAGTCAGGTCTGAGTTAATACTTTCCTCAAAACTTAGTAAGTCAGGTCTGAGTTAATACTTTCCTCAAAACTTAGTAAGTCAGGTCTGAGTTAATTCATTCCTCAAAACTTAGTAAGTCAGGTCTGAGTTTATTCTTTCATCAAAACTTAGTAATTCAGGTCTGAGTTAATACTCTCCTCAAAACTTAGTAATTCAGGTCTGAGTAAATTCTTTCCTCAAAACTTATTAAGTCAGGTCTGAGTTAATTCATTCCTCAAAACTTAGTAAATCAGGTCTGAGTTAATTCTTTCCTCAAAACTTATTAAGTCAGGTCTGAGTTAATTCTTTCCTCAAAACTTAGTAAGTCTGGTCTGAGTAAATTCTTTCCTCAAAACTTAGTAAGTCTGTTCTGAGTTAATTCTTTCCTCAAAACTTAGTAAGTCAGATCTGAGTTAATTATTTCCTCAAAACTTATTAAGTCAGGTCTGAGTTAATACTTTCCTCAAAACTTAGTAAGTCTGGTCTGAGAAAATACTTTCCTCAAAACTTAGTAAGTCTGGTCTGAGAAAATACTCTCCTCAAAACTTAGTAATTCAGGTCTGAGTAAATTCTTTCCTCAAAACTTATTAAGTCAGGTCTGAGTTAATTCATTCCTCAAAACTTAGTAAATCAGGTCTGAGTAAATACTTTCCTCAAAACTTAGTAAGTCAGGTCTGAGTTAATACTTTCCTCAAAACTTAGTAAGTCAGGTCTGAGTTAATTCATTCCTCAAAACTTAGTAAATCAGGTCTGAGTAAATACTTTCCTCAAAACTTAGTAAGTCAGGTCTGAGTAAATACTCTCCTCAAAACTTAGTAATTCAGGTCTGAGTAAATTCTTTCCTCAAAACTTATTAAGTCAGGTCTGAGTTAATTCATTCCTCAAAACTTAGTAAATCAGGTCTGAGTTAATTCTTTCCTCAAAACTTAGTAAGTCAGGTCTGAGTTAATACTTTCCTCAAAACTTAGTAAGTCAGGTCTGAGTTAATTCATTCCTCAAAACTTAGTAAGTCAGGTCTGAGTTTATTCTTTCATCAAAACTTAGTAATTCAGGTCTGAGTTAATACTTTCCTCAAAACTTAGTTAGTCAGGTCTGAGTTAATTCTTTCCTCAATACCTACTAAGTCTGGTCTGAGTAATTTCTTTCCTCAAAACTTACTACGTCAGATCTGAGTAATTTCTTTCCTCAAAACCTACTAAGTCAGGTCTGAGTAAATTCTTACCTCAAAACCTACTAAGTTGGGTCTGAGTAATTTCTTTCCTCAAAACTTACTACGTCAGGTCTGAGTGTATTCTTACCTCAAACCCTACTAAGTCAGATCTGAGTAATTTCTTTCCTCAAAACCTACTAAGTCAGGTCTGAGTAAATTCTTACCTCAAAACCTACTAAGTCGGGTCTGAGTAATTTCTTTCCTCAAAACCTACTAAGTTAAATCTGTGTCATTTTTGGTTCTCTACACTCACTAAGTCAGGTCTGAGTAAATTCTTTCCTCAAAACTTAGTAAGTCTGGTCTGAGTTAATTCTTTCCTCAAAACTTAGTAAGTCTGGTCTGAGTTCATTCTTTCCTCAAAAATTGGAAAGTCAGGTGTGAGTTAATTCTTTCCTCAAAACTTAATTCCGGACGGGCGGACAACTATTTCAAATTTCGACGTACAGAACAGTATAAATGTAAGTATTTATAGCGATCTTGGAGAACTGTTTTAATTTATTAGAATTTACGTGATATCAAGATAGAATGGAAATGTTTTATGCAAATTATAATTTTACAATATGAAGTAAATAATATTACTGTTTTAATAGTCAATCCTTACTCCAGGACCAAAGCGAAAAGATCCTTCAATAAGGAAAAGCCTCAGCCCTTCAATTTTGTCGATTATCCACTCAACATAAGAACATGTTATGGAGTAGGGTTGGGTAGCCCACAGGTTATGTGCTTGATCATGTTAGCGTAAACTTGTCCATCTCATACACCTTTACTTGTGTATATGTATTTTTCTGTATATATATATATATATTTTTAAATTGTGATGGCTTGTATATCTTTGGTAGTAATGTACTTGATCACGGCAACATAGTCTGTCTATTTAATACACATGTACTTGTGTATTTGTTTAACAGGTTATCCATCAAGGTATTGTTTTTTCACTGCATTCATTAATTATATTGTCCCTATGGGCTGAATGTTAGACAGGATCACGCCCTTGTGTATTGGGCCTAGTTCTGACACGTGTAAAATAAATAGTATATTATTATATTATTACATAATCCTAATAATTGAATTTCTGAATAAATTGAATGCCAATAATCTATGTAGGCAGTATTTACAAGTCTTAATGTGTACTTTGGTAAATCTAACCCTCGTAAAAGATCTGTTATACTATACACGCATTTGAATTATATGTTTTCAAAGAAATGCCTTTTGCAGCTTGCAATTTGCTCTTATGAAACGAAATATGAACAATCCGTTAAATGAAGTTTGAAACACTTTGCTTTTTATGGAAAAAAAACAACGATTTCTGAAAATTGAAAAACACGAGTTATTCATGGTGTCAGAAAAATGAGAATAATGCATATCTCAATAATAGCTTTTCCCAACGAATTTCTATTCATGCAAATTTGATAAGGAGTGTTTTAGATACTGCATAATTTATCGAAATTTGCGAGAAATAATTTGAACAAAAGAACGGAAAGAAATAAACACGAGAATAGCTATGTTTTAATGGAACCAAAAACAGACGGAAGCAGTGCTTTTTATTCTTGACAAGAAACTAACGAAATGAGCATAAAATCTTGAGAAGGACTTCAATAAAATTAGCATTTTTATTCTGATTCTTACAATAACTTCATCGACAAGCGTCGTAATAAATTGTCATGAAAATCTTTAAATGACGAATAATGTAGCTGGAGTGAGAAGTAGCGTGTGA